GTGGCCCCTGGGAGTGGCCCGAGTGGGTTGAGAGGTCGAAACTTGATTTTTATGATGGTTTGGGACAGGCAGAACCCATTTTTAAACTAAAACATGTCCCACCTACCCCGGAACATAAAAGCACTACAGGGGTAAAGATTTTAAAGTCTGGATTTAGCTGGATTTCGGTCATTTTGGGATGGGCGTGGCCCCTGGGAGTGGCCCGAGTGGGTTGAGAGGTCGAAACTTGATTTTTATGATGGTTTGGGACAGGCAGAACCCATTTTTAAACTAAAACATGTCCCACCTACCCCGGAACATAAAAGCACTACAGGGGTAAAGATTTTAAAGTCTGGATTTAGCTGGATTTCGGTCATTTTGGGATGGGCGTGGCCCCTGGGAGTGGCCCGAGTGGGTTGAGAGGTCGAAACTTGATTTTTATGATGGTTTGGGACAGGCAGAACCCATTTTTAAACTAAAACATGTCCCACCTACCCCGGAACATAAAAGCACTACAGGGGTAAAGATTTTAAAGTCTGGATTTAGCTGGATTTCGGTCATTTTGGGATGGGCGTGGCCCCTGGGAGTGGCCCGAGTGGGTTGAGAGGTCGAAACTTGATTTTTATGATGGTTTGGGACAGGCAGAACCCATTTTTAAACTAAAACATGTCCCACCTACCCCGGAACATAAAAGCACTACAGGGGTAAAGATTTTAAAGTCTGGATTTAGCTGGATTTCGGTCATTTTGGGATGGGCGTGGCCCCTGGGAGTGGCCCGAGTGGGTTGAGAGGTCGAAACTTGATTTTTATGATGGTTTGGGACAGGCAGAACCCATTTTTAAACTAAAACATGTCCCACCTACCCCGGAACATAAAAGCACTACAGGGGTAAAGATTTTAAAGTCTGGATTTAGCTGGATTTCGGTCATTTTGGGATGGGCGTGGCCCCTGGGAGTGGCCCGAGTGGGTTGAGAGGTCGAAACTTGATTTTTATGATGGTTTGGGACAGGCAGAACCCATTTTTAAACTAAAACATGTCCCACCTACCCCGGAACATAAAAGCACTACAGGGGTAAAGATTTTAAAGTCTGGATTTAGCTGGATTTCGGTCATTTTGGGATGGGCGTGGCCCCTGGGAGTGGCCCGAGTGGGTTGAGAGGTCGAAACTTGATTTTTATGATGGTTTGGGACAGGCAGAACCCATTTTTAAACTAAAACATGTCCCACCTACCCCGGAACATAAAAGCACTACAGGGGTAAAGATTTTAAAGTCTGGATTTAGCTGGATTTCGGTCATTTTGGGATGGGCGTGGCCCCTGGGAGTGGCCCGAGTGGGTTGAGAGGTCGAAACTTGATTTTTATGATGGTTTGGGACAGGCAGAACCCATTTTTAAACTAAAACATGTCCCACCTACCCCGGAACATAAAAGCACTACAGGGGTAAAGATTTTAAAGTCTGGATTTAGCTGGATTTCGGTCATTTTGGGATGGGCGTGGCCCCTGGGAGTGGCCCGAGTGGGTTGAGAGGTCGAAACTTGATTTTTATGATGGTTTGGGACAGGCAGAACCCATTTTTAAACTAAAACATGTCCCACCTACCCCGGAACATAAAAGCACTACAGGGGTAAAGATTTTAAAGTCTGGATTTAGCTGGATTTCGGTCATTTTGGGATGGGCGTGGCCCCTGGGAGTGGCCCGAGTGGGTTGAGAGGTCGAAACTTGATTTTTATGATGGTTTGGGACAGGCAGAACCCATTTTTAAACTAAAACATGTTCCACCTACCCCGGAACATAAAAGCACTACAGGGGTGAAAAGCACTACAAATCCACTACAAAAATCAAGGAAACGTGCTCTCAATCCAGTTAAGTATATTAACTGAGGACTGCACCAGGGTCAAGTCATGGTGACAGAACGTAAATGTTATTTAATATTATTTAATAGATTTATTTTTATATTATAGTTGTTATATTCAGTATCGTGACCGATCTATCAGTGGCGGGGGCCCACATATAAATATCATTTGCACTCATTAACTTAGTCAGGGTCTGTCAATTTGTCCCAAAAGTGTTTTGCCAGGTTTGCCTTAAAAGTTCCGGCATCACTTATCTCTTTAAGGTCAGTTGGTAGGTCATTCCAGACACTGTGTGTTCTGAAGAAGAAGCTTCTCTTAAAGGAGTGAGCTTTTGCTTCCACAGTACACTTCAGGGAAAGGTGGTCGTGTCTGTTCTGTCGCCTCTGGTTGATTTCAGGCATTCGAGATGTATCAACTTCATTATATCTCGAGGGTTGCCTTATGTTTGAACGCAACCTACCCTGTTCACTGGTTGTTATCGGGGTTAAATAAGGTGGGAGCTTCAGAACAGATTGACCATTGTATATCTGATGGAATAATAGTAAGTCTGTGTATTCAAACTTCAGCTCCATTGGCAACATGTCTAGCTCTCTTAATCGAGCCAAGTATTCTAAGTCATTATAGTGATGATCCTGTTCGCCAATTATTATTATTTGGGTTATCAGGATCCGGGGGGTGGGATCTTTTGGATCTATCCTTCCGATATATCTTGTAGATGCTATCAGGGAGGATCTCATTTTCCAGGTGCTCTTTTGAAAGCCAAGTCTCAGTCAGAACAATAACATCAGGCTTGTCTTCATAGATCTTAGATTGGAGCTCTAGTAGTTTACCAGCATCAAGCGGCATGTTTTTAGATGCTAGGCCACTAAAGGGGACAAGCCCTCTCAAATTTTGGTACATTACCTTTAGATGACTGAGGTTATTGTTATCAACTGGACCTGGGTTAAGTATGCTTGTATTGCAGATAACAAGCAAAACTAAGTTCAGAATGGTCGTCCAGATGGTGAACATGTTACTTAGGAACTGATGTCCACTACACTTAGCGGAGGAGTAACGTCTGGGACAACCATACTTCACTATCCATAGGGCTATTCCATTTTGTTTCTTTGAATAGATGATCATTAGGACTACAAGATTTGCACTGTTCATAAGGCAGTCCCAGTCATTGGTCAGGTGTAGTCCGATCTTGTACGAGCGATGCATACGAAATGTTTGGTCTGAGTATTCACTTGCTGTTTCAATGGCCCCCGCCAATAACAGACAGATCATATACACATATACAACAATCACTACTCCATAAATCATCTTTAAAATAGCACTTTTCTCTATAGTGGTAGATGAATCTATATTTAATTTAGCATTGCATTTGACTTTGGGAGAGTATAGACCAATCACTGTTCTGTGTTGTAGAAACGTGACTCCCATAAATTAGTTTAAAACTCAAAGTTAGGTGGAGACTGGAAAATATGTACTGATTATACTCTGTTAAAGAAGCAAGAAGTTAATGAATTAAAATATTGTCAATTAATAAATATGGGAACAAATTATGAGAGCATTGTTAAGCTATAATGTTCGTTAAAAATGAAAGAGTTCTCTGAATTCTAAAATGCCAGGGTAGCATTTTAATGTCATCGAGGCTGATTCAGAATCAGCGTCCGTAAATACATCGAGAAAAATCTCGAAGATCGACTGTAAAGTGATTTAGCACGCTCGATTAAAAATACTGAATTAGTGAATGGCCACGCTTCGCAGCCCGCCGCGCGGGTCTTGCAACGTGAGTGGTGAGAGTGCAGAGACAACAAAATTGCCGTGACAACAAAATTGCCGCGGCATTCAACATAAACTGAAATAGTCACCATGCTGCTCAATGACTATGAGCTAGTATGTAGTAGGTTATACTTATAGGTTAGCATAGGAATAAAATAAAAATGGATTTTATGACAGCTACGTTTTATTTTACAGACGTTAACATCAGCTGCTCTCAGAATGTTAGTCTATTGTTCCATGAATCCTGAAGTTGTTGCGATCCGGCAACCTCTAGCCGAGAGCGACTCTGTGGAGGGTCATTTCAACCAACTCAGGACCACAGCTCCCGTCGAGAACCATTACTTTATTTGTGCTGTAAACTAACAGGGTGGTTAGACAAAGTGGGCCTCATTGTTCGTTGGGCAGAGAACTGTCTTTATCTTATGTCTTAGACGCATTTGTAGTAAATAGTAGGGGGGGGAGCCAAGTGGATATTTGTAGATATTTGTAGATTAATGTAGAATGGATAATCCATGAAAAAAGTGGATGACATTCTACAAATTTATACATTTATCTCCAAAAATTCAGTAGAATTTCTGGGCACATATTTGAGATTACATTTTTTGTAGATAAATGTAGATATTTGTAGATTATTGTCAATGGATAATTCACGAAAATTCTACAAATTCTACAAATTTATACATTTATCTCCAAAAATTCAGTAGAATTTCTGGGCACATATTTGAGATATACATTTTTTGTAGATAAATGTAGATATTTGTAGATTATTGTAATGGATAATTCACGAAAAAAGTGGATGACATTATCCAAATATCTACAAATATCCACTGCCCCCCCCCCCCCCCCCCCCATAGTAATACACATTGAACTTGTGCAGTCGATAGACTAGTGCGTCTTTTTTTTATTAGTCTACTTTGAGGGGGGGCCGGGGGAGGGGGAGGCCCTCCCCCTCCCCCCGGCCCCCCTCAAAGTAGACTAATAGGGGAGGGGTTGGGACCTAAAATGGCATAAAATAGCATATATTTTTACTTCGAGTAAATTGACATTTTATGCCATTTATGCCATAGATTTTGGTCATCGAATTGCATAATGCATATGTGACACCTAAATGGGACATCCTAGCATGTTTATTTACGCATCCCAGGCTACTCAAAGCTCATATCAACTTACTAGAGGCTCATAACAGGCTACAGCTAGAGGCTCATATCTCGCTACTAGAGGTATGATCCGGTAGACTTTAGCCATCGATGCCCATTTGATCAAAAGTTGAGGAATAAATGGTCGATGGGGTTATTGCGACATTCAAGCAGAACACTGTGTAAAATATATACTTTGATAAGCATAAGATGTGTTGTGTTGATGTTAAATTCTAAAACATTCTTAAGCTCTGTTTTATTTTTTTGAAAATTCATGGAATATTAATTGGAATATTAGAAGTAAAGTTAATTTCTCTTTGAATACAAATATCTAAAATTCTTATTTGAAATAATTCTGTACATCATATATATTGGACTTTCATAAATTACTTCTGTTTCAATACAAATATTCTGTACATTCTGATTCTGTATACATATGTAAAAATAAAATTTGGCAGTTTTTCCTCCATTTTTGGCAGCGTTATTTTAACATAGATTCTAGTCTCGATTCAACGAAAAAAAACTACTGTGATGATCTCTGCATTTCTTTTAGTCCAGCAACGAAAATTTGCCTGGATTGGTCTAGGAGCTGTTTGTATTTCACCAGATCTTGCTGTCTTTCCGCTGCTATTGCTTCCACGTGAGATTTCAAAACCATAACTTCATCCTCAAGAATAGCCAACCTGTAATAAAAATATGCATTTACTTTCATAAACATATTAGTGAACAAATGAAATAATTCCTTGACAGTGAATAGAACATCAACCCCTTGAACATACATTGAGCTAACTTCAAAAATTGTACAGTTCGTCATTAATGCTTGTTTATGATTATAAAATTCAACTAATTAAACATAAAAAAGAGTATACTGACTGTGAATTAGGGGGCGGGTGAAGCAGTGTGGCGTTCTGGTTACATCCATCACACCGGGGTACTTTCTTACTCTGAAAATTAGAGATTTTAGTAAAAATAATTGACTCCATTATGATATCTAGCTACCTTTTTATAAGTTCCACCATCTTATTTTCATCACACTGAGGATACTTCTCTGCTATACGACAAATTGTAACCTTCAAAAGGTGCTAAAAACTTCAAATTATCAATATCACTTTACTTTTAAACTGCCTCCATACCATCTATATTCTATAATATAAATTCTGGTCAATCAACAGTTCGGTGGATTATCCTCCTCTTGGTCTTAGTTATTGTAAATTTGTTGAATATCAAGTATGATCTTCCTACCAGACATGTATTTAATTTACCTACTAACTAAAAATACATACCTTGAGATTTCCAACAAGTTTCTCCAAATCGACCACTTGTCTGGCGAACTTCTTGCTCTGTGTCTGATGAGACATCTTATCCTCTTCCAACCGAGACATCCTGTAATCATAATATGTTATATCATGAATTATATATAAATCATGTGAACTTGGGATACAGGAAAAATAAAATAAAAACTAATATTTTGAGTCAGGACTTATAGAACTGGTAATTGTATAAGGAGTCGAGTCAATAACATCAACTGATGAATAGCAAGTAAACCTCTGGTTAAGGACATCAGTCAGCTCGAACAGTCGATCCTTCTCCACTTCAGTAGCTCGGAGAAGGTAAGTGGTGTCAAATCCAGCTTCTTGGGGTTTAGAGGAACTCACTTCTGGAGCGGACCTCGGCGCTTGCACTTCCAACGGTCTGATGTTCATCTGAAATAGAAGACGTAAGCTGGAATTGTCAATCACGTACGGAATAATTCGCATTCATATCTCGCAAAAACTTAAATGCTAACACAATTTAATAACTGTCCATTTAGTACATGGATGACCAAAGTAACGGATCGATTACTGGTGGAGCAACTTCTCGGTATTATGAAGGGTCCCAATTCACAATGATCAGTTCTCTTTGTCATTATCAATAGTACCTTCGCTATTCACCACTAACATAGCACCAAGTTACAAAACATTTACATAACAACAACACAACACAGCACAACGATTTCAAATAACCAAGCATTATATCTAAATATCTACAACTTCAGACTGACGTTAAACTATGTTAAACTGACCGATATTTCTCGGGATCTCGTGATTTCCTCTTCTAACTGCGCAACACGTCGGTCTTTCTGACCCACATTCAAATGTAACATCTCGACCTGATCTGACAATTCTCTTATCTGTTTAGCTTGCTCGTCCGAATCACCGCTCATTCCCCAATCCCCTCCAGCTTGCTCCTGGTCAAAATTCCGTAATCAGTAATGGTCAATGTTTATGCTATTAAAACTGACGCAATTTCAGATTATAGCTCTCGGTAGAGCTGATAGCTTTCAAGCGATCCAAATTTCGACAATTATTATAACGAATAATGGTCACCTTCTCCTCGAGAAGTTGGGTGATAAGATTGTCGTCATTTCTACCCTTTTCGACCAAGGCAGCAACCTGGGCCCTCAAAGTTTTCATCTCGGAACTGAGAGTAGTATTTCTCGCTTTTACAGCGTCGTAGTTCCTCTTGCTTTGTACTAAATCTTGTGTGACAGTTTCTACCTCTTTCTGACAGTCCTGAAAGAAAAACAATTAAAGATTCCATCCGCACGATATTCCAGCATAGCACCGAGTTCCATCCGCACGATATTCCAGCAATTATATAACCAAATTTCAACCACACGATAAGAAATTTTAAATATTCCAGTTTAAAGGTTTCCAGTACCTGAAGCTGCTTTTTCCTATTCTTTTCTAAATTTTTGATATCTCTCTGCCTTTTCTGCTCCATTCTAGACGGAGGCGTCTCGTCGGCTTTCAAATTTGACAATTTGTTCTGAAGAACTGCAATCTGTTCGGAGCGTCCTCTCCAAGAGTTAGGATTAGCAAGGATAGACTGAACTGTTGTGCCTTCGCCAACTTCTTTTTGTAGAAGCTGAAATGTTAAGACGATTAGAACTACTTGATTCAATTATCATTGCTCTGACGACAGAGTGCGCAAACTGAGACATAACGTACTCCTCATTCTTGTAATACTTGTAGATAAATTATAAAACATGGAGACCACGCAATGAAATGTATCATGTTATAATAATTACAGGAAGTTCCAATTGAATTTTAAAATTACTCACTTTTAAAAGCAGCTTGTTCTCAGTTTTTGAGGTTTCGACGTGATGTGACACCTCTGTAAGTTTATTTGATAACACTGTTACTCTTTCTCGCAGCAGTTTCTCGTTATCTTTCGCTGGGCTACCCTGTTACATTGACCATAATTAATTCTCTGACGTCATAAAACGAACTTTAACTTGACAACGGAAATTCCACTACCGGTATAAACAGGTCTAACACAAAGCCGCGCGCGACATGGGAAGACGTGCGCGTCAAAACACAGCAAAGACAACACGAACGGTATGTCATAAATATTTGCGCGCGCTACAAATCACTTCAAAAGAAGACCGTTCTGTTGTGTACTTGCCAGAAACCACGCCGTATAACTATAACACAATAAAACTTACGTCAGACGATTCTTCTTTCCTTGCTTTGACTGCACTTTTCAACTTTCTCTGGACCGACTGGATATCATACAATGAGAGAAGGATCGTGATATTGAGGTCGTAAGGTTTTCTTATGTTTCTTAAGTTTTTTAATACGGATCAATGTCGTAACAGTAATGATCTATAAAATTCGTTGAGATCATAGTTTTAACTATGTCTTTGTATCTCAAAACTAACCTGGTTGTTGAAGTTGTTTAATCTCTCTGAGAGCTTGTTTTTAGCTGCAGTCTCACTACCAAGTTTACACTGTAGGTCTCGGTTCTTCTTTGATAGTTCCACTATTCTTTGTATAGCTTTATCACTGCCCAGCCCACCGCCTAATTGAATTTCATCATCAGATATTTACAACTTTTCTTTTAACAAAGCAGATTAATCGCACAGTAAAGCAACTTTTATCAAATCCACCACTAAAACTCCAAAAACCTCGTACGATAACAAAATTCAGCAACTTCAAACCTGTAGTAGCTTGTTTAAGTTCATCGTACTCATTCTTCAACTTAAAAACATCATTTTCCCTAGTCCGCAACAACAATCTCAATCTCTGATTCTCAGACTCCAGCTCCATGTTCTTATCTCCAACAGTTTCAGCTTCATACTTCAGATAAGCTATCTTCTGCTTTGTTTCCTCGTCTTCTTCTAACCCGGTGTTAAATGATAGGTCCAAACTATCAGGTGTTTCAGTATGTGAGTAGTGGTCAGGGATTGGCTCTTTTGCACGTCGCGCCAGCAGACGCGCCATATTATGTTCTGATAAGTCTGCTGCCATCTTTCTTTAGTCTTTACATTTATTGTTGTTCATATCACATCATGCTGAGGAAAGCTTTATATCATAATGCCAAATACTTATGTTCTCATTAATATTACCAACGTAATTTAACTAATATTTGGCAGATACAGTTTACCATATTGACTGATAACACAAAAGTATCATTGCTACAACGCTGATAGGCAATTTATCAATTTAGAATAAAACTTCAAATGGTTTAGTAAGCAGAGCCCGAACAAAATTATTTATAAATATTAAAATATAAATGTTATATCAATACCTACTGCAAATCTAATATCGAAGCAAAATGACCAGCCAATGGGCCATTAAACAGAATGTCCATAACATTTCCTATAGCAAGATTTATAAAGCATTCAATAATTCACACATCAACTGGCGAGTGAAATGATATAATATAAAATTATTAAACAAAAGCATAGTTAAAAGGTTAACAAGGGGGAATTCAACTAAAAATAGATCAGTTGGAATGCATGGCAGCATGATAGTTGGGAATATCAAACCCTGGATCTTCTTCTTGGCTTGATAAATTCGAGTTGATAGTATTCGTAAAGACGTCAGTGAGAATATCTTGTTCCATCACACAGGGAGTTGGATTCTGATTTGATAGATCAAATTCACGCGATTGGGATATCGTATTTCGATTGGCATAATCGTGTGATTGAGAGATTGTGTTCTGATTGGATACAACGAAGACATGTGACTGATCTCCAGTATTCTGGCTGGATACAGTGTAGTTATGAGATTGAGGAGCAGTTGTTTGGGTGTCAAGTCCGTAAGTGGGAACGGATGCGAAGTCACGTGTTACCGTTACAGAGTCAAGCTCATCTACATCCAGATCATCTAAACTCAGAGATGGATAGCTGGATTCTGGCCTGCTATGATTTGAGCTGGATTTCTTTGAGTTGGTTATTTTTATTGGGCCTTTGGGAGCCTCAAAATTGTTTGAATCAGTGTCTGTGGGAGCCGAAGTTTTGTCCTTATTTTGCTTCTTTACTATTTCATCAGATGACATCAAGTTCGACAATTTCACTGTATAATACTTTTCTGATCGTTTTTGTGAGTTTTTCAATTTTGACAGTCGTTTTTTGGACACGTAAAGCTGTTCCTCAAGCGAGTCAAGTTTTGATCGAACAAAACCTATAGCTGCAGTGTTATCTTTATCAGTTTCACTTTTTAACCTCTCAAACAACCCTTCCTTTTCAAACATGCAACTATTAATAGTGTTCTCAAGTTTCTGAATCTCAGTGATACGCATCTCTCTATGCTTGTTCGCTAAAGCAAAGTTTGATTTCGAATTGTTTTCAGCATTGATCTCTTCGGGAGCAGATTTTGAGATACTGAAACCTTTCCGGAATTTATACTGACCACCCCTGATGTTCGCTTCACGAGCCTTGGTGACAAGATCGCTTCGTCGCGCCAACAGCGTCGGGTCCCTAATAGCAAGTTCAGCTGCGCACGCATTGATGTACTGCTGATACTTATTTGGTTTATTAACCCTGTAAATAGCTGATAGCTGAGTGATCATGTCATTTGTTTCCTCCTCAGTTCTGACATCAGTCAAATCTGTAAATATCTCATTTGACGGTAACTTCACCTCACCATAAAAGGGCTTAGTTTTCCTCCGTTTAGGAACAGTCTCGAACACGTCCTTGTTGACGGAAGTAACAAACTCAGGCTGTCCCTGGTAGACAAGTTTGCTCTTCTCAGGTACAGGGGGCATGTCGTAATCAGGGGAGATACCCAACACGCTGTGGAGCGCATTGAGTAGCCGTGTCACGTGGAACGGTTTACTGGACATGCCCACGTGTTGCATGAGTTGGAGGAAGTGAGATTGGGACATGAGGGCCAGCTGTTTGGGGTCATCTGCCCCGTGTTTGATGAACTTGTCTTTGTATTGGGAGAGGTTTGATTCTTTTAGGATTGAAGCAATCGTGTGATTGTTGTAGTCCATTTCATCTGGTGAGAAAGATTTTAGATAATCAGAAATCCAAGTTAACAAGTGGTACGATAAATTATAGTGTAATTTGGAAAGAATGGGGTATTAGATGCTTAGGTAGACAAATTATAACGAATTGTATAATTTTATGCATCAAATCAAATGAAACAACGGTATCTTGAATTCATCAATCATTTGAAACGTAAATTAATGGGAAAAAATTAATTTTCAAAAATGACTACAAAGTACAAACAATGCAATGGTTACTTTCAACTACTACCTCTTTAATAAAGGCTCTGTTTAAAATCCCTTAATAAACTTTGATTAAGTATAATCAAATGACAATTACACTAGATCAAGTGCAAACTGAAGATAAAACTCTTGATGATGTTCATGCAATCGGTCAGGCCGCACGCAATATACATTTTAGCAACACTGGCATGCCGGTATGGGTCCACACAACTGTTATGAAAACAATATAATCGTGCTAAGACTGTCTCATTGGTACTTGGTAGGGGGTCAGGTAACACGTGATAACCACGTGTTTCATTGTACCATTTCTTTCAGTAAGTTTCCAGCTATCACCAGACGCTGAATCTCGCTCGTTCCTTCGTAGATCTCGGTAATACGTGCGTCACGGTAATGACGCTCAGCAGGCATATCGCTCACATAACCCATACCTCCTAACACTTGGATTGCCTGCGGAGTAACAGTTATAGTATTGGTGGATCAGCAAATGTATCTTATATTTATCTTAACAGAACGTTTAGTGATCAAACTTATAAGTGGGTACAAATGTTCCTCATTGTTTAATGTCTATTCTCCAACTTATCATGTGGTGAAAATATTCAAACCTGATGAGCGCAGTAAGTCGCAGCTTCTGATGCGACTAGTTTAGCCATGGCAGCTTCCTTAGTGAAATTGTGTCCGTCATCCTTCAGTTTGGCGGCGTGCCAGTTTATCAGTCTGGCACTCCAAATTTTACACTCCATATCAGCTAGTTTGTTCTGTAAATTAACAGTGTAAGTGAGCAGGTAAACAACTTTAAAGTTGCACAACAAGAGCAGTGTTTCACCAGGATACTCGTCAGAAAGTGAAATAGAACAACTTTAAAACCAGTTGCAGTATGTAAAACTGTCAAGTGTCAACTTATCTATTACCTGTATGGTGGAGAGTGAAGCGATGGGTTTGCCGAAAGCTTGTCTCTGTTGCGAGTAAGCGACAGCACATTCCAAAGATGCTTGTGCAATTCCCAGTGCTTGTCCAGCCACTCCAATACGACCAGCGTCCAACGTTCTCTGGGAGTTTTATTTGGTTCACGTTTTTTTTAATTTAAGTTTTTAACGCAGTTTATGATTTCAAATACCGATGTAAAATAACATAGCATACAGTCTCATCATCTATAAAAACACTCACCATAGCAATTTTGAATCCGTCTCCAGCCTTTCCGAGAAGATTAGCTTCATCTATCATGCAGTTATCAAAGTTGATGACACAAGTCGAGGAGCCTCTGATTCCGAGCTTGTCTTCTTTTTTACCAAGAGACACACCTTGGGCTGGCTTCGGTACAACAAACGCTGATATACCTGGGGAAGTGTGTTAAGTTAAATATTTAAATCCTGATAGATAAAAGCACTATAGTTGGACCAATTCTTGTTAAAAAAATTTTTAGATTGATTATTAATAATACTGGATCTAATTATCATCAGATAAGCACAGGCTTCTGGACGCTTTCTGCCAAGATACGAGGAAAATAACCTTTATGTTTGAGGGATTTGTCTGTGGTAGCGAATACTACAGCAGCCTCAGACTCGTAGCCGTTTGTGATCCAGGCTTTACTTCCGTTCAGCTCGTACTGTCCATTGTCTCTGAGTGTTGCGTTAGTGCTGGCAGCTCCAGCGTCACTTCCGTTACCTAGGCAACATGTTGTTACTTTTCCTAGTAAGTTAACTATCCTAGTTAGTATCTTAACAGAGATCACAGTGACTCGCCATGGATTAGTCATACCAAATCTTCAGATGTGTGTTAATATAATTAGTCCATGAAATGTAAATCAATTGTAAATTAATAATTAACTGATCATTTTTTACCTGGTTCACTGAGACAGAAGCAGCCGACATGATCCCCATCAAGGAAGGGAGTTACCCACTTCTCTTTTTGTGCATCGTTACCGTTAGTTAGAAGAGGACCCAGGTACAGAGACTGTAAGTAAGAGACTATTATAGTCGGTATTTTAGCCAGTTTAGCCAGTATTATAGCCAGTACTACTGCATACGAGAGTAAATAGCAGCTAAGATTAATAAGAAAATTTATCCTGGATTCACGCCTTTATACAGTTTTATGTACAATTATGAGTTACTCTATATAAATATAATATAATATAAATATAATATAATATTTATATTTATTTATAAAAGCTTTATTGCTTGTGAATATTTGTTAAGTCATTATAGAGTGGGCACAATGTGCCCGGCACATCACCACATCGCGCAATATAACACAACTAACGCAATAACCTGATTACTTACATTGTTGACAGAGAGGATGACTCCAGCTGTAGCGCAACCACGTGATATCTCCTCCATAGCCACCGCGTACGCGAGGTACCCCATACCAGCCCCACCCAGCTCTTCAGGGGCAACCATCCCCATCAGTCCTAGCTCTCCCATCATCTTTACCTGGAGATGAAGAAAGAATGAGTTAGTTACCACTAAGGACTTACTTGTACTAGATTATGTAATATGTTCGTTGTTTTGTTTGAGTTGCGTTGTAAAATAAAAATTAATATACGTAAATGTTATCCCTCAATCCGATGAACTCCCCAAACAATATCCTCCTACAATCCTACATTCCTACATACCTGATCAGTAGGGTATTTGTGTTCCTTGTCAATCTGTCCAGCTATCGGTTTCAGCTCATTTTCAGCAAAGTCCCAGCAGGTAGTACGAAGTAGCTCGATATCCTCCGGGAGAAGAGTGGTTGAGATGTGTCGTGCAGCTGCGCAGCGCTGTAGCACCGGTCGTACCAGTTTTCCTAACATCCTATAATAGTGAACCGTGGACTTGAGTATCTCAACCGTCAGAATATAAGAGTATAAGGTGAAATGTTTTTATACTACGTTGATGGACTCATCTTGATATGTGAAGACAGTGAAAATAGGTCAAATTGTAAAATGTGTCAACATTATTAAAACATTATCCATTGCAAGTCCACCTCTTATCGCTAGGACACATTGCTTACTTGCACGTTCAGTTCCAACTCCTATTATGTTCGAATTCTAATTGTTAAAGATCGAAATGAAAACAAAACATTTGGATAGTAGCACAAACCAAAACAATGCACAAATAAAATAATAAACACAATATTAAAACCTGTTAAATCGTAAATTGAATTATAAATTCCTATAGCAGTGAATGTTCTCGTCAGCTTATTGAAATTTTTGTCGGACTGACATTGTCAAAAATAGCCAACAATAAAGTAAATAAAAGTAAAGTAAATTGAAAGAAAATAAGTAGAGCTGTATGAACTATACTATTTTAAAGGTAATTTGCAATCGACTAAAATATAGCTATTTAAAGATATCGATCATAAAAATCTTTCAACAATCAACAAATAAACAGCAGATAAAATAAACAAAAAATTAACAAACATAAAAATATATAATCATCTCGTTAGATCCTTGTCTTGGAGCATTAGACTTAAACAAATTTCCGTATTTTTTCTTCTTAAAGTAGAAAGATGAGACATTGATGACCAGCATCCTCATTTCTCTGACATATATATAGAAATTAAAAGATTTTTACAGACAATAATGATTGATATCTTATCTTCAGCTCATTACAACTAACATTTTTACAGACTTATATTGTCAAAAATGCCCAAAAAAGGGCAAAAACTTTGTAAATATCAAAATAGCAAAAATAGATATATATTGTAAAGGCATAAGTATTTAAGTACGTCGGATTGTGCAATCTATCGGCGTTCAATTTCAACTGCAATATTGCAATAATTCAATTCAATTCAATTATAAAATTTAATTTATTTAATTAATTAATTTTTACCTAATTCACTGCACAATTGTTCCGAAATGTGTATTTGAGCGTGCATTTTGAGAAGAAACTCAAAGTCCGAAGAATAATCGCACTTGCCACACTGCCACAGCTTCTCATTTGACCTCGCGACAGAAGAAGATGCAGATTTACCTAGCTGTGTTTGCAGGTGAGTTATGAGGTGTTCGTTAAATTTGTCAATAAAATAGGTTGTATAATCGCACTTAGGACACTTGTGAGTCTTCTCGGAATGTTCACCCATGTGGAGATCAAATAGTTTAGTGGTACTCGCTGTAAACTGGCAAACTGAGCAGGTATAAAGTGCAGCTTCTTGGTCGTGGCATTTTACATGAGCGTTCAAGGACTTTCTGTTAGCAAACGCCAGGTCACACTTTTTACATTTCCACTTCATGGTAGGCTTGTTGAATTCTTCTTCAGGATGGGATTTATTAAAGTGGTCTTGTAAATGTTCAGCAACAAAAGATCTGAAGTCACACTCGGTACATTTGAGGGAACGAGCGTCAGGATGTCCGTTTATGTGAGCATCTAGTTGTACAGCACTGTGTGTGGAGTAATCACAGAAGTGACAGGTGTTCTGCTTCTCACTACCGTGACATTGTTCGTGAAAGATAAGAGTTTTTAGGCTACCGGTTGCAAAGTGACATTTGCTGCATTTCCAGGGTTTTTCTTGGGCGTGTTTGTCGTTGATGTGTTGTCTGAGACTTAGTTTCTTTCGTGTTGTAAAATCGCACAATTCACAGTCATAAAAGTTCTTTTTGTGCTTACGAGATGACTTTTTTGGGACCTTCAAATCATCGCAGACCTCTTCTGGTAGCACTTCTTCAAACTTTAAATTGTCCTCACCCTCTTGTGGTAACACTTCCTTAACCTTGTCAATACCTTCTTCTTGATCATGAAATTTGGCGTGAGCCTCTAGAGTTCTTTTACAAGTAAACGCAAGAGGACATCTATCACATTTCCAGGGATTATCAGCAGTACTGCTGTCTGCATGAGCTACTCCCAAGTGGTGGTACAAATTCTTTTCGATACAAGAAATAAAATCACACTCGGGACATCCGTAGGTTGGCTGGTCTCCGGGATGTCCCTTGATGTGGGCATCCAGTTGAATGAGACTGATGGTGGAGTAATCACAGAACTCACACAGATACAGATGATGAGAAGTGTGGCACTTGTTGTGCTTGTCTAGGCTGCTTCTTTTGGTAGTTGTGAAGTGGCATTTGTTGCACTTCCAGGGCTTTTCCTTGGCGTGTTTGGTATTGCAGTGATGTCTAAGTTTCAGCTTTAAATGAGTTCTAAAAGTACATAAAATGTTCAAATCACACTTGATGATATTCTTATGGGTCTTTTTGCGCTTACGTGAAGATTCCCCTCCTTGAGAAGTACTTTTTCTTTTTAATGACGCTCGAGTTCGCAATGCTATCCAAGAAATATGTTTGTGAGTAGCCATAACCAGCTCAATAGTGTTTTTATCATCAGGCTCAACCTTTACTGATTGCCCAGCAACTGGGGCTACAGAAGGATTTAATGATGAGTCCAGTGAGTCCACTACAGGAGGATGGAATACAGTGTAACCAGCTTGCTTTTCCTCTGTTTTCATAACAAGGTTCCCATTCTGAGGGTTTACAGAGTAACCAGGATCAGGATCCTCAGATTTAACAGGACACTCCACATGTCTCATAACCTTGTCTAGCGGGATCAGGGTTAGTTTCCTGTGAGTTACAGGAACATTCTAGCAACTCTGTCTTCACATGGTAAGATAGATCAACACACTCAGTCTTAATATCACACTCAATCTTAATATCTGGAGCAACACTAGGAGCTTTCTTGGAGTTATCATCATCGTGAGTGTTTCCTGAGTCATCGATCATACTGAATGATAAATGGTTAGAATATCGAACTTGAAATTAAAACTTACAAATCAAGCATTGGTGTACATTATAATCTAGATGTTTTCTCGGAATTTCATTAAAAAATGCACACCAGATATAATACCCGATACGGCTTTGGTAACTAAGTTAATTCATCAGATGATAAGACGATGAAGCACCATTTAAAAGCAGGTCCTTTAAAATTCTAAATTGGAAAATACATTGGATTTTGAATAAAACGTTTCATTTTTGTTATCTCGTAAAATAATTGGATATTATTATTACCTATTTTGAATAATATATCACCTAAAATGAGGTGCACAAAAAATTTACACCCCCAAAATTACTTAAAAAATTCTTTCTAAAATAACTTAAGCCATGTTCCAATAAAATAAATAAGTTAGGTAAAAACTAATGAAATAAAATTATCGCCCCTGTCAAAATAAGATGTTCCCTCAAACATCAACCAAACTTAAAAACAATCGTTTGTCAAAGTGAGCATTGCTATTAATATCAAAACCTTCACATTTCTCTGACAAAACCTTCTGTCTAACCCTCCTTACCGCATTGATCCAAATTTCCTGCTCCTCGAGATCAGCGAGCAAAACCTTCACACACCCTACACCACATTCCATACCATGTCTAGCAGTCAGGTAAAGACTGCTGACCCCAGTGGGGAGGAACACACAGAATCTGGTGGCTAGCTGGCGGAGCTCTTCGTTCTCAGACTGACAGTGCAACAAAGCACTGGCTAAGAGTCTGGAAGTGAGAATTATGTTGTGGGGTAGTTTCTGTATTTTGTAGAAATAGGATAGGAGTTTAGTGTTGCAGGTGTCGAATCTCAGGTTCTGGTCAAGTGTTTGCAGTAAGGAAGAGTTGTTAGTGGAGATGTTGTAAGTAACAGTTAGAATCATGCAGATGTGAGCGTATTTATCAGCGTTATCAGAGAGGAATTGGAGAATGTGCGGAGGAACGTTAAAATCTGGTATAATGGAATGTTTGTTGAGAATCTCAAACACGCAGTTCGCTAAATAGTTGCTTACGTAGCGGTACTCTTGGTTCGTCAGTCCATCCAACAACCAAATCAACCCCATGTAGTCTACATTTGTATAAAAATCATCGTTAAGAGAGCTCCAGAATATTTCAGTCAGTTGTGGGCAATGATTTTGAATATGAGCAAACGCGGACATGTAGTCTTTACTCACAATAAACCAAACTCCAAGATAATCTAGAATACTTGAAGGATATTTTCGAGAACCAGACCCATGCTCATTTATCTCTAAAACTTTGCCGATAACAGCATCACTCAAAACATCTTTTCTCCGGAGTGCCACATAAATCTGTAAAACCAGCGAAATGTTGATATCGAGCATCTCCTCAATACTCAGTATTTCCGTCATATCTTCAATAACATCAGACTCCACCAAGTCACCATCACTTTTACTGGACTCCAGAATAAACATCAGGACTCCATTAACTTTGTTATGAGACGAACTTGTCAGCTCCCGGGCCCCTCTTCTGACAAACTCCCTCAGCTTGTCTTCATGACAAACTAACACTACAGTTCGAGCAGCCACACTTCGTATTTTGTAGATCGGGGACGAGAGGAGATTGTAAAGACATTCCCCCAAGAAATCATCTCTATCTGTGGTATCTGGGTAGAGTTTGGAGGATATCATCAGAGAGAGGAAGATAGTTGGACAGGTTTTAGTACCAGATGAGTGCTTCTGTAGGTTACTCAGTACTTGTTGGTAAATTCCTCTGTAGTGCTGTTTTAACTCCCCTATTGATAGGCTAGACCTGTGAAATATAGTAAGTTTATTTCATAGATTCGAAATTTTGTAAAGAAGTAAGGAGCATGGTATTCCAAATTTGTTAATTGAAACACAAAATATTAAAATTAAATTGATCTCTGGTTGGACAATGAGAAGTATTTAAATAAGACGTATAAAACAAAAAGGAACTAAAAATAAAACCTGTATCCACAATCAAACTCAGAGTTGAGATGGCCCAGAATGTAGTTCAGCAACTCAGCAAAGAGAAGAAAACTGGCGTTTCTGACTACCCAGAACGAGTGTATGAATCCAGAGTAACAAAGTTTGCAGATCTGAAGATATTGTTCATATGATATAATTAAAACAGGATGTCATGAAAAGTATCGTCACAGTGACACAACATTTTTCTTGGAACACGTTAATCCGCAATCAAATTATCAGTGTTATGAGTTATCATAGTGGAAATTGTTTCCAAGAATATAGGTTCCGGAATCTAGCTGATCCGGTTTTATTTTGATCCTGTTTTATCTTTATCCGGTTTTACTTGGGTCGGAATTATTCACAGTAAACCGAAATAATATTTGTTTTTAAAAAGAAAGCTGGCTCGGACCTGATCAGAGAAAGGAATCAAGTGATGTCTGAGTTTAGCGGAGGACAAAACAAGTCTCAACATGTGTAGAGAGTGTACCTGAACCAGGTCCTCAGTCTCAGTACATTCCTCAGGGTAAGGAATGTTGGCTGCTTCCAGCAACTTCGTTACAGTTTCATGGGTCAGGTGCAGGTTATTACACTGTAACACTGCTTCTATCGCTTCAGGGAGTCCAGCACTGCGTCTTGATAAAGATGACGCTGAAGTGGGTGAGATATTATCAGTATACAATTAATATACATTATACATGTGACATTTGTATTGAAACGCGGCGGGTTTTACTAAATGAAGACCTTAAATGTCTCAATCATAATCATTTTTAAACCCTTAAAACAGGAAGCACCCTCTTAAATTGAGAGAATCTCCAATAAAATAGTAAATAAAATCCAGAAAACTAAAGGACATACAAGTAGGTGTATGTAAGACGTTAAGAAGAGTGGTGACCCAGCGTGAAGGTAGCTCGTGTGTAGGTGGGTGAGAGGAGGTTCTGACTGAGATCACCTTCAGTGTCTCACACAAAGCTTTTATTACTGATCTATGTCTGCACCTGATAGATAAAAGTTTAACAAACGAACAATTTCTATGGCAAACGTTTATCCTATATAATACTATAATACTTTTGACTATAATACTTTTGACTTTGTTCAAGAAATAAAAGTAAATAATGATATGAGGATGCCGCAAAACTTTTTCTCAAAATTACGATGGAAGTTACCTGAAGACACATTTCAAGCAGACATCCCCAATAGAGTAAAGATCAGAGACAAATGTGCTCCCATCTATCAAGTAACCCTCCATAGTTGAATCAACTAGCGCACCACAAGTGCCACTAAGCAGCTCTAACAAACTAGCAATAGCATTCCAAACTGTCTGTCCAGCATTCTTACAAAACGTTTCATCTCCACCTGTAGCTGTTTGTATGATAACAAACGTCTCCTCAAAGGACGGAGCAGTGTAAACCTGATCACTTTCAATGTCTCTGTGTGATATCATGTCGAGGAAAATGTTGATAAGGCAGATGGAGACCCTGGTGATGGAGACAATGTTTTGTGTGGACATGTTGGATAGTTCAGTCTTTAGAGGTGATACTTTACAGGGGATATCGGTCTGTAATATGTTTTGGAGACCTGTTACTTTCTCTATTTCATCCATGAAACTGGTGAGAAAATCGGTTGTGTCACTTGTATCTTTGATATCATGTCTATTTGACTTCTCTTTGATAAAGAAATGCTTGTTGATCTTCTTAGCTAACGAACAGACATCATTATCATTATGCTTCATTAGTTCCAATATCTGTTCCTGCAGCTTTTCTCGTTGCAAAACTGTCAAACTTTCTTTGTCTAAGTTGCTCAACAAAAAGAAGTTCAGAGCTGTAACTATCGAATGATAAGGGGCTTCTATGTAGGTGTTTTCCAGAAAAAGCTTCACCAGGGGAGTGATAGTTTTATCCTTCGATTTAACTAAAGGTTTGAGACTCTGAAAGGAAGCGATGGCGTGAACTCTGACGGTAGGGCAGGGTATTGTTAGGAGGTTCTTGTAGGTTGTAACAATGAAGTCGTTATCTGTAAAGTCCTGCATGTTTCTGGAGATGAGTGTGATAAGAGAACTCTGTACTTCTGATGAGCTCGACTTATTTAGCTGAAACAAACATTGTGATGGGCTAAGATCTAGATGATATCATAGAAAATTCAGTTTTCAGCTTAATTGCACAATATCTATTAAAACGACCGAATAAATTTACCGAATCCAAAAATTAAAATTACCTGTGAAGAAAGCAGTTTTTGATGCAGATCTTCTTTGAAACAAGGGTAGAATGTCTCAAAGAGGAAAACTTTTCCCTGATCAGATATATCACCACTATCTATCATCTTGAAAACATTTTCTTTCAGATCATCGGGAAAAATTTCCCGTTTAGTGAAGAAGGGTGACATATAATCAGACAGAATTCTCGAGAAAACAGGATTCGTACCAACACAGGAAACACAGATTCTCAGAAGGGTGACAAAGTTTTCTTTGTTCATTTTCTTGCATAGAAGAGTTTTTATGGCTTTGAGATTGTTGTGGTCCAATCGGTTGTATCCCAGGTGACCAACAAGACTCTTTAAAGTAGAGGACACGATCGCAGTTTCTAAGAACTTAGATTCGCTCAAGAACAAGTTAAGGAATGAAATTGTCTTCCTGCTGTACCATGGTCCAAGAGAAATATCCTCGACCCTTTGTATGAGTTCTGGTTCAATTGTCAGACAGGATTGTATTATATCCTCACAAACGTTTGACACATTCAATCCACGATCATCGTAAAAGAGAGTTACCAAAACAAATACCGCTGGTACAATCTCTTTGAATTCAAAGCAACGGTGTTTTCTCAGACACATTCGAATCGAGTCTAGGTGTACAAATTGATACCACACAACATTTTCTCTGACTTTCTCAACACTGTCCTGGAGCATCATCAACACGACCTCTCGATCGGACTCAGAGAATTTGCAAGATTTCAGGAGGCAATTTTTCCACCATGCAATCAAATATTGATTTCCAGAGAAAAATTTCAAACTAAAGTCGTGTTCAGTTTTAGGGGAACTGTTGTGATATTCTATATTGATAAAAATAACAAGTGGTATGATGAGGATCATGACATCGCGTGGAAGCTGTTTTGTAGCCAACAAAAATGACATCAACTGTTCTGATGTGGTATTTAAATGACTGATATCGAATGTATCAGACAGCTTAGATTTCAAGAACAAGTGTAAGCCATGACAACTGACACTTAGCAATGTAACTTCTTCCAAGCTCTTATTACTATTTGTCAAAATATTCTGACAGTTTTTGTCTAACGAATGAACGATAAGCTGGACCAGAGAGACATCAAGAGTAAGTTTCTTACTTTTGAAACACTCAGTTAGAGGTTCACTTAGATAAAGCAACTGGGACGATGTGCTACTTTTTAGCAGTTCTGTAAACCAACCCAAATCTTTTGAGCTTTTTAATCTCTCGGTTATCTTCTTACGTTCATTTGACGTGTAAAGCTTGCCAAGGTCTACATCCATCTATACACTTATTGAAGTATTACCAACAATGAGATGTGTATCCAGTCACTGTGATTCACATTGATTTGATCATGTAATATTCACAACAGAACCATCTTTACTTCCCCAGCAGACGTTTGTCGAATTCTGTTTTCTTACAATGGTTAGATTTGATTAAGAATATTACAAATTTGTATTCAAATTTAAAAGAATTGAAAGGCAAATTCAATTTCAAGGAATGGAAGATTACTTAATATCCAAGAAAAACTTTCCAATTAGTCAATTAGTCAGAAAAGCATGAGTGTGCATAATATAATTGATCAAATTATTCTTTTAACATAAAAATCAAACATCTTAATTACATCAAAAATCTGTCAATTTCATCAAATCATTAACAAACAATTTCATAAGGTATAAAAACATGCAACCATGTGAGCTGAACTGCAACTTAGAGGATTGTAGGACAAAGGTGGTAGACGGGACTCTAAATCGTATACAAAATTATGAACCTTTGGTAGATCTTATCATTTGCTCAATCATATCCCATTGGTCGGGGGTAATTTCAGATAATCCATTAAACATTCCACCCATATAGTTTGCTAATCCTCCGTCAAAGTCGATTCGCTGGCCTGTCAACCATGAAGATGCAGGGTGAACAAGATAGCAGGCTAAATTAGCCAATTCCTCAACCTCCCCCTCACGTCCAACAGGAACTTGATCGACCATCTTATTAGTTCCCTCTCCACCTGGATCAAGTCTGGAGAAAGCTCCTTTTGTATAGATTGGTCCGGGTCCAATACTGTTCATCCTAATACCATATCGTCCCCACTCTGATGCTAGTGAGTGTGTCATTGCATCAACTCCGGCTTTTGCACAAGCAGATGGTAGCACAAATCCTGTTCCTTTAAATCCAGAGACGGTTATGTTAAGAAATGTTCCTCCTGAAATAAGATATGTTTAAAGAGATCATCCCTTAAACTAATCATATTAGTTTACATAATTCTAAATTTATAGCATGTAATATAATAAGCTTGCTCTAACCTGTCTTTTCTTCAATCATCTTTTTACCAAATGCTGATGTTACATTGAATGTACCCTGCAGTACAATGCTTGTTACAGCATTAAAGCCTTTAGCTGACAGTCTCTCTGATGCCCCTATCAAGATTCTAAAAAAAGTGCGATGAGATTGGATTTTGACACTAGAAGTGCGATTTTCACGAAATGTACTCCCCACCCCCCCCCCCCCCCCCCTCCAGCCTGCAAGATTTCTTGCCCCACAAATTATTTTCTATTTAAAAAGATTTCGCGAGTCCCTTTGTAAGCGAGAAGTATGTCACTATTATTGGATCCATAAATAACGAAAAATTAACGTGCGTATTTTCATGAATTATATTATGTTACATATTGTAATTATGGTAAGCCTCACGTAGCACGATGGTTGAGGGCGCGCTCGTCAAGCAGTTGACTCGGGTTCGAGTCTCGTCAGCGGTCATTCTTTTGGCAATTATTAATTATTTTACTAAAATTATCATCAGAGCACCTTGTAATATACGTTATCCGATAGATTATACTGTTCGTACTTCATCTAGAGAACTAAGAGACTGAGAAGACCGGCATTTAAGGATTTGTCCGGGGAAGGCCTCGTTCACACTGGAACATGTCAAATTATTGTAAACGGAGTTATCTGGTAATGTTTGTTTTGTTTATGGCTAGAATTTAGAATGGAATCAATGTGATGAGGATCCAGAGTTAATTACCTGCTAGGATTAATAAGTCAGTTCTCCAGTTGAAGAGACCCTTTCTCAAACTTTTAATGAAGAAATATTCACTATGCCTATGGCAGTATCAAGTATATTCTGAGAAAGAATATAGCCAGGAATAGTACCTCCTTTAATGGTAACCATAGTAACTATAGTAACCACTGTGAATCTTGATCTTATAACAACTAGTATCCTTTAAGACTTAGACAGTACAGTGAATAAACACGCTGAAAAGCGATGAAAATGCAAGCGCGCGACCGAATATGTAGTGCTGAAAGAGGGTGCCGAAATCTCGCGGAGAATCTCACGATATTGTGAGCCTAGCTATGAGATTTAAACGAAACTCGCAAAAATCTGGCAAAAATCTCGCGCGCGTTACGTCGAAGTTTTCACGCTATAAACAAGTGATAAAATACACGTTAAGAGTATAAAATACATGTTAAGTTCCTAATTCCCTCAACTTTTAAGTTAAACTTTTTCTGTTTCCTCATTTATTTACAAATTTTGTGCGATGAGTCCGGCTCGCAATCTCGCATAAATCTTGAGCTGGGCTCTGATGGGGCAATGAAGTTTCCTGCTGCATTATTTACAACAGCATTTGGAATTCCATGATCTTCTACAAATTGATCTGCCACAGCAGAAACCTGCAAGACAGTAATATTATGTAAAGTGATAGAAAAAGTAATTTGTCATGAAGTTTTGTCTAACGAATGAACGATAAGCTGGACCAGAGAGACATCAAGAGTAAGTTTCTTACTTTTGAAACACTCAGTTAGAGGTTCACTTAGATAAAGCAACTGGGACGATGTGCTACTTTTTAGCAGTTCTGTAAACCAACCCAAATCTTTTGAGCTTTTTAATCTCTCGGTTATCTTCTTACGTTCATTTGACGTGTAAAGCTTGCCAAGGTCTACATCCATCTATACACTTATTGAAGTATTACCAACAATGAGATGTGTATCCAGTCACTGTGATTCACATTGATTTGATCATGTAATATTCACAACAGAACCATCTTTACTTCCCCAGCAGACGTTTGTCGAATTCTGTTTTCTTACAATGGTTAGATTTGATTAAGAATATTACAAATTTGTATTCAAATTTAAAAGAATTGAAAGGCAAATTCAATTTCAAGGAATGGAAGATTACTTAATATCCAAGAAAAACTTTCCAATTAGTCAATTAGTCAGAAAAGCATGAGTGTGCATAATATAATTGATCAAATTATTCTTTTAACATAAAAATCAAACATCTTAATTACATCAAAAATCTGTCAATTTCATCAAATCATTAACAAACAATTTCATAAGGTATAAAAACATGCAACCATGTGAGCTGAACTGCAACTTAGAGGATTGTAGGACAAAGGTGGTAGACGGGACTCTAAAATCTAAATCGTATACAAAATTATGAACCTTTGGTAGATCTTATCATTTGCTCAATCATATCCCATTGGTCGGGGGTAATTTCAGATAATCCATTAAACATTCCACCCATATAGTTTGCTAATCCTCCGTCAAAGTCGATTCGCTGGCCTGTCAACCATGAAGATGCAGGGTGAACAAGATAGCAGGCTAAATTAGCCAATTCCTCAACCTCCCCCACACGTCCAACAGGAACTTGATCGACCATCTTATTAGTTCCCTCTCCACCTGGATCAAGTCTGGAGAAAGCTCCTTTTGTATAGATTGGTCCGGGTCCAATACTGTTCATCCTAATACCATATCGTCCCCACTCTGATGCTAGTGAGTGTGTCATTGCATCAACTCCGGCTTTTGCACAAGCAGATGGTAGCACAAATCCTGTTCCTTTAAATCCAGAGACGGTTATGTTAAGAAATGTTCCTCCTGAAATAAGATATGTTTAAAGAGATCATCCCTTAAACTAATCATATTAGTTTACATAATTCTAAATTTATAGCATGTAATATAATCAGCTTGCTCTAACCTGTCTTTTCTTCAATCATCTTTTTACCAAATGCTGATGTTACATTGAATGTACCCTGCAGTACAATGCTTGTTACAGCATTAAAGCCTTTAGCTGACAGTCTCTCTGATGGGGCAATGAAGTTTCCTGCTGCATTATTTACAACAGCATTTGGAATTCCATGATCTTCTACAAATTGATCTGCCACAGCAGAAACCTGCAAGACAGTAATATTATGTAAAGTGATAGAAAAAGTAATTTGTCATGAAGTTTAAAAAATATAAATTGTTGTCATTCTTCCATACGTCTCGATCATAGGGTATGCTGATAACTATTTTATGACCAAAAATTAAGTATTTATGCTTCATTAAACAGCAACTGCTTACCTTTTCATGATCCCTGATGTCCATTGAATAATAAAAAACTTCATTTTTGGTTATTTCACTGATTTCTGATGATGTATCTTGAAGGGCTTGTACATTTCTACTGGCAATGCACACTTTGGCGCCCTAAATTAGACAGCATTGTTGCCATGCCTTTTCCAAGACCTGTGGCTCCACCAGTCACCAAAATAGTTTGACCTGAAATTTTTGTTAATATTCTTTTACAGTACAATCAATCAAATATAAAGACAGTAATGTTCCGACATATTGACTCCTACTATTCCATGAGGGAGAAGGTATGTTGATAATTTAAGAATTACCTTTAAAGCAATCAGCAGCCAGCATTGGCTGTTTGAAAGCAGGAAAGTGAACATGCTGTGGATTGGTCTTTATGCCCCTCGTCAGTAGTTGATAGGACACTGAAGTAGATAATTTCCGAAACATAGCTAGAAAGTTTTAGTCAGGGAAACACAAGCAAATTGTTAATTATTAATAGTTTCGTCTATTGCAGTCAGAAAGTCTGTTTTTCCTGTCTAATTGAATTTCGGCCATGGCCCTTTTGGTACATGTACAGCTATCAATATAGCATAGCTTAGGCAGGCACAACCTCAAATCCATATGCACTCGTGTCATTTTCGAAGCAATGAGTGCATCCAACGATCACACTTTCGTTTGGTTTCTGACCTTCGTTCAACCAAATCAGTCGGAATTGAACCCCTGTCTGACTGTCTGTATAAGAGACGCTCGTGTAAACCACTACACTAACCGACAAACAAATTCATAGTCTAATGTTTGAAGAGAATTGACTCTGGGTAACTTCTATTATAATATAAATTTAAATTTTCAACTATGTCAAAGAAAATGTCACATCAGGTGTAAGATTGAACTATTTAAGTAATAAAATAGTAAAACAAATTTTATTTTATACCCACAATCAATTCATATTTAGTTTGACCATTGTTAATGATCTGGCCCGGCGCGCGCTACTTCGTAGCACTTGCCAACATTTCGAGAAGAAAGCGGCGCGCGCTACTTCGAAATTTAGACGAGTAACATCCGTCAAATATTTAGTTCAAATATTTAAAGTCAAAATAACCATTTCACATAAGTGGTTATATTATAATAAAATAATTTGTGATAAATTGATAAATTAATTTACACTCAAAAATGAACAAAATATACACAATTTTTACCTAGTGCAACACTGGCTCAGCGCGCGGCTGATCGAAAAAGTTTGGTTTGCATTTACTAACTACAGTGTACAGCGTACCAAACTAATGCCTTTCATTGCTTTATAAAAAAATAACTTACTGAATCTTTTAATACTAGACACATTTTAATTCAGATGTTGTTTAATGAGTTAACCACAAAAATGTTCAAATTATGTAGGAGGGTAAAGGACACAATTGCTAGTAGTGCTTCTTTGAGCCCGGAAAGAAGCGCAGGAAGTCCAGACTGTTGACTGGCAGCAGTAAAGTAAGCAGTTAAAACACAAAGTAATAATATAATATTATTATATAATAATATAATATAAAAGTTTTAATAAATATAAGGCAGAAACACCTCATAGCAAGTAGAAAAAATGGCACTAGTCTTTTTTACAGATAGGTTACCTAAATGAGTCACAAGAGGATATTATATCATGAAGTTTGATAAGTGTCTCTTTGGTGTGATAATCCTCCAGAATTTTAAGAGGATGCTATGAAATCTATGTAAAGATGAAAGTGGTATTATAACATACTAACGAAAGGACCAATACAAGTTACTTCGCAACTCATCTACAATGTGATAATTCACATAAATACTGTACAGACAACAGATATTACCAGTTCAAATAGGTAACTGGAAAATGGAATCAAAAGGAACTAATAAATGCCCGAATGCGGAAAACATAATGACCAGAAATAAAGTTGATATACGTTTTTATAAATGATACTCGTAACTATTTGTTTCAAACCTAACATTATCTCGGCGCATGGATCGGTGAGTTATAAACCTACAACACAAGTTGCATTTTCATTTTGCACGTTGACTGGCACGCCAATCTAAATGCGGGCGCTCTTTTCACTTTTCGAGCTTTTTTTATGATTATGATACTGATAGTTATGTATAAAACTATAGTTCAAATCAGATTCTTTCACGAAAACCGGAGGTCCTGTATGCTACAGAATCGTGATGTGATTTAAAAGTAAATTATGTTATTTTAAGCTAAAATCGGATAATTAAGTGAAATAAAGTGTCCTTATCTATGATCTAGGGACTTATCAGTATGATTTATGATTTAAATAACTTATTTGGCTAAAAAATAGAAATCGAATAAAGTGGTTGCTTTTGTGTTGTGTAGTTTTGTGAGGTGTTATTTGTATTCGATTTGTTTGTAGCGTTTACGTAATAAGGGACTATCGCACTTAACTTGAGTAATACTGAGGAGAACGTACTTGATTATTCATAGATTTGTATGTGAATTTTGAATGTTGTATAGAGTTATGAAATCTCATTGATTTAGGATAATACAAATTTGTAAAGTAAGATGTGCTTCTTGCACACTTCTAAATAAAAGAGATCAAGAAATTACAGACTAGCAAACGTGCAGTATGCAGTATAAATAAGTGCGTCACCAGTCACGTAGCACGAAAAATCTCGTGGTTAGGTGAAATCCAAAGTCGGGCCAAAAGTATTTTGAAAAGAAAGCGGCGCGCGCTACTTCAAAGAACGTTAGAAGAGTATCATTGCGCTAATCATTTGTCTTAGATCGCCGACAATACAAGTACAAAGTAGACTATATGTCGAATAATATCATAAATAGACAATTTTGTTTTCTTCAATAACAAATATGAAATAAAAAATATGATCTGACGTGTGTTGTAAATTATAAAATTCGTCGACGGTATCCGAAACAAATATATTTTACAAATATGAATCATATTTAATATGATCACCAGTTTCATATAACCATGAGTCTTTGCGTACTACGTGACGTGATTGTTTGATCACGGGCGCGAGGGCTCTAATTAAAGCAAATCACCAGTCAACATTAACAGTTAAGTTTTATTTGACAGCACGAGAAATTTTATTACAGCAAATTGATTGAAAAGGTAATACATAATACTCGTACGACATTCATATGAAATATTAAAAACATTGTTGAGTTGCGAAGCAACTTGGCGCGCGGCGTTGAGAAATATATGAAAACGTTGATTATAAATTATGGATTATCGACGCGCGTCGTCTTAAAAGGTTATAAACCTAGAATAATTTATTCATCACATAAAGCCGCGACTATTATACCAAAACATTGTGTTCTTTCATTAAATAGAAATTTCATATGATACGGTAAGGCTACCTACTATTTTCTTTAAATGGTTAGGACTTGTCATTTATTTCAGATCCAGCGAACAAAAACTACGTATTTATTGCTTCATTTCGCGCCGCGCACTAACTCATGTTTGTTTACGACGATTGTTTGCGGAGTAAAAATTTTCGAATGCGCGATATTCGTCATTTGGCAAGCTGAACAGTAGTTGTTGTCATGCCTGAGAATACCGACCTGAATGAACTGAGAACGTTTCCCACGAATGTGTCACGTGACAACTTGTTTCACTTTGTAGCCAATGCTACCAATCATTTCTATTGTCCATAAAGGTAATACCATGTGAATTTCGAAGCGGGTCAAGAAATCTGACCATTTCTATTAATTTCACTCCAAATTGTGTTGTTTGACTAAGGAGGTATTATTGAGTGTATTTCAGTTGACTTGCTTGCTTTAGTGCTTCATGTCTGACGTCCGATAGGTTTGATAAGACCTTTTATTGTGAAATGAAACCTGTGAACACTCATTTTGATCGTTCATTTCCGTCCTCTCGTCGTTAGCAATGTCACTTATTTCTGTGCCATTTTACAATAATTTAATCGTCAAAATCGAATGACTGAGACGTCTTATCCGTATTGCCTTGCTGGGAATTTCTCTTAATTTACTTTTCTGACACTGTATATCTTAGTTTTATTTTACATTCGATACCGTTTAGCAATGTGGAATACAGCGAAGGATTAAGCTATGGGCTGTCTTGGATGGCCCTGTTAGAGATTGCTCGACCGTTGCCGCGTACATTGGTCTACATGTCCCCGGGGAGCTGCTGCATGTGTGGTTTGCCAGTTAGAGATCACGCCAAGCATCTTTGTACCGATAAAACTAAATCTCTTGTTTCCCCGAAATCTCCCATCAAACCTGTCATTGAAACTCAGGTGAATATAAGCTGCAGCTATAGAGAGTATAGTTTAAACCTCCGTTGATTGTGATTGATTTGTTCCTATGCTTATAAATTAACGTTATCGAGTTGGCAAGAATAAGCTTGTTTTCGGTTTTCCGCTCTGTAAACCCCAATTATTCACAATGCTACCATTTGTAAAGCCTTGATAAATAAGTTAATTTGTGCCAACTCTGAACATATATTTTAAATATATTGTGTAATAGTAAAGTGCCCACCTCACAATTCATACGATTGCTTATTGTAGAACACACTGCTCCAAGAAATTCTAAACTCCGGAACACATTCATTTGTTCAATTATTCATCATTTTCGATACGTACAATCGCGATCGGTAATGTATTTATCAACTTTATCCAGTACATTGCATCGGCCCAGAAATACATAGTAATTTGTACGCATTTCTACGACCATTATATAATGTCCATTGTTTATAAACTAGAGGCGCTCACAATTTCTATTGTTCGTTTGATAATCTAATGAATTATTAACAGATTCAAACTACGTTCCCCATCATGATCTAACTTTTAATAACCTCGCGTCCATCACATCACACCATTCATATTGTTTTTCACACTGGAACTGTTTCATCTGATGAGGGCTCACAATATGCTCGTAACACCCTAGCATGTGACACAGTCCTTATCTAACTTCAATTTCCAAATTTGTTACCCAACACCCTGAATATTTTATACTTGTACTGCAAAGCCAATTCCTTGGAAAGTTCTAGAGTACTTTCAGCACTTTCCGCTGCTCATCGAATCCCGGATATTGCATGGACGAAAGCTCTAAAGTGCCTTGAAGATGTTTGTTTAAGTTGTCACATTTTATATGGATTGTAGATGAAAGTAAGTAATAGTAATCACAACATGAATTACAATTCAAATGTGTGCTCTAATTTTCTCGGTTATCAGTGTTACATTGACATTATCTACTCTGGTAATCAGTCGAGTACACGACGATAGGCAGTAATATTGTACGTTTATTATAAACAGCTACCTCTCAGAATAAGACATGTTACCTCTAATAATCGTATTTAACTCATTTTATAGTTTCCATATCGAGTTAAATGTCTAGTCTTACGACGCCCATTACAAACGTTTAATAGATTGTTGTGTACAGCACGCAGAGTCTATTGCATGAATTGGGATGTATATAATTTCTGATATTAATTGCAAACTTTAACATTGCACGACGACATCAAGCGAAGTCATAATCTATAAGTAACAGTAATATCTCTCGAAATTTCCAAAAAATGCAGACCTTATTCTCGACATATTCGCTTCGCGATGTAATTGTTTGTAGAGAAATGCAACGTAATCGTCGGGGAATAAAATGAAAAGCAATCTAATTATCAGCCATGATCTCATCGTAATAGCTGGTAACGGCCACAGAATTTGATGTCTTGTCTTACTGTGTATCCACGAAAACAGGCATTAGTTCTACACGCGCTCATTACATGCTCGACATTCTTCCACGTAATCTATACGTAGGATGATACACACTCATCAGTCAGGCACAGGTAGATGTAGAGGTATCAGGAAGATAATTCGCAGATGAAATCGTTTAGAAAATTTTAGAAATGTCTGAGTGAAATCATCAGGAATGTTATCCTTTGGCGCGTCAAGTTTTTCTTGTGTTTCAGTACTCAGAAAATACATCAATTAAAGGAAACACTCAGTAACAGTGTAGTATATTAACTCTCAACATCCTCCGCCATGAAGGATAAATCCTCTTTCATTTATCAGATATCTCATCTGAAAGCTATAGTGACATGCGTAGAGGTAGCGCTGGATTCGATTGTAGGCTTCAAAAACTAGTACACACTACACTGGCCACCTTGTCAACAGCATCTTGTCCAATACGTAGCACTGCTGCTATGTGCTTGTTGAGCCCGTGAGTGCAGGACTACGCTCCGCGATATCATTAACACATCGTATATTGTATCACATTAATATCGGAGATGATATTAATAATGCCATTTGTTAAACAGGAGATGCTTTCTCAATTCAATCACTGCACTGGTGTAGTGCTGTAGCGATGCAAGGTATTCATTTTGTGTTCCACTATGGCATGGCTTCAAATATCCGCCCACTGTAGCGATGCGAGGAATCTGGAATAGTAATAACATTTACGAGAATTCTCTACCCATCAGTATCGACCGTACAGTTAATTGGCCGATTTGAAGCGGATCAACTGTCAAACCTAAAATCATTTTCCACCGTCACAACACCATTTAGTGGGATAAGTATTCACCACGTTTTTGCTTCATCGTCTAGTCGTAACATTTCCTTCCAGACTTAACAGGCATATTGTCAGAGACACACAAAACCATTTACCATTACTGTGTTGTGTATCATTAATTATCACTGACCTGTCTCAATGTGTCACAGTTATTTTAATTCTACCCAGTCTTACAACCAGTCTGCTATCTCCCTGGCCACTGACTCTCAACTCGTTTCAGGTTCCCCCAGCGATCAAGACTTCACCGCCTCTCATCAAGAAAGATGACATCACTACCAAGCCGCAGAACGACGTCACAAAAAGTACCCAGCCCGTTAAGAAAGAGGAGCCCCCTACGACGGGACTGGTGGTCCCACACATTGTCAAATCAACTCCTGTCCTAGCGCCAGCTCCAGCCCCACCCGACGTGGTTACCCCAGATGTCCAGCTGTGGCTCAATACCATGTCCCGCTCGCCTCATGCCGAGCGCCACCCGCCCTCTCCTTCACCCTCCGTCTCCAGCGAGAACAGTCAGGTGTCTGGAACTGTGGTGAAGACTATCGCTCAGCACTCTCCGGTTAGTTTATTTTTTGTACAGTAAATCCTCTGGTCAGTGTTATCCATAGTCACTCCATTGCGTGTGCTGAGGCACACCTTTGTTGTGATATTATATTATAAGAAATCACATAAGATCTTTCATTTTTTTGTTTCATATATGTGCGCCCTGTTTTTGATATTAATACAACTGCACTGGCATGGCAATCATTCCTATTACGGTTACTACCTCACAAACTCTGTTGCTCATAGTTATACTATCAACAGATTGCTTGCTCTGCACAACTTTTCACAAACATGAAGAATAGTGTTGAGATGGATTTCAACGATAATATCACCTGTCCAATATTAATTCATTCCACTACAATTCAATTTAAGGCTTCAATAAATAGAACATGATATTCACCTTCCCAAAAGTATGAATAACAGTTAGCATTTGCTCTACTATTTTCGTGAAACCTGCCAGAAAGTTCGGTGCCAGTAGGCTGAGGTATGATATTGTGGACACTTAGCTTAATAAAAAAGCGCCCTTGGTACCGGAAGCAGTAAGATGTGTGCTACACCGCGACCGTGAATTCAAAGTCTCACCCACTACTTAGAAGTTAGATGTAATGTTTTCACCCACTATTTAGAAGTGAGATGTAATGTTCTCACCCACTACTTAGAAGTGAGATGTAATGTTCTCACCCACTACTTAGAAGTGAGATGTAATGTTCTCACCCACTACTTAGAAGTGAGATGTAATGTTCTCACCCACTACTTAGAAGTGAGATGTTATTGTTATGTTCTCACCCACTACTTAGAAGTGAGATGTAATGTTCTCACCCACTACTTAGAAGTGAGATGTAATGTTCTCACCCACTACTTAGAAGTGAGATGTAATGTTCTCACCCACTACTTGGAAGTGAGATGTTGTGGCAGAATATAGAGCGCTAGTCGTAGACATAGTTTAATGTAAAATGGTATATGGTTTAACGGCTATAAGAAGCCGATAATATGTATAATTATTAAACTAAATCTGTGATTAAACCGCACTATCCAGCTTACTGCCTACCATATTATGTACAATTATTAAACTAAATACGCGATTTAAGTGCACTGTCGAACTTAATACCTATCAGCATCCTCCGTATTTCAAAAATGCATTTCGAGCGTGTTAAGTCAGTTTTATTGTGTCCACGATTCCCTAAACGTGCTCTAAATTAAGGTACTCGGAGGAATTCTTTTGAACCATTTGTAGAAATACCTAGGCCTACCTTAGAATACCTTAGAAATAACCTCCAAACCGGGCACTGTACATGCTAGAAGACTTTTTGAAAGCAGTGTCCTATTTGTTATTTGTCAAATAACTTTGTGAGGGATCTTAAATATAACAAATTATGAATATTAGGATCAGAATATACGAAATATATAATATGTATATGTCGATTGTAACCATTTATATGAGCATATGCTCGCTAATTTAACTCCTTGGGAGTTTTAACCATTTCTTCGGATGACGTAGGTAAATTTGTACAGTAAATAATACAAAAGACTTCTTGTAATAGGTGCCTGAAATTGCCTTTTAAAACAGTGTACTCTCTGTAAATATAGAATTTTATCTATAGTTTGTCACTAATTAACATTTGCAAACATTTGCAAATGTCAATTAGTGACGAATGACATAATATTATAAAGACTATAATCTATAAATTGTAGGTTATTGAGTTTCGACTTTCCATAATAAATAATGAAGTGTACTGTGTAGAGAATGTTAGTTACAACACTGTAAAGTTTAAAGTACAAACTTGTAGATAATAGTGGACTGAGTACTGATCTCCAGACGTCATGATATCCGCGGCAACTCTAGCACGTATTTACAGACCGATTCCCGTGAACTCGACTAATTATCCTCACACCTGATGTATCGTGTGATGTGTGACACTCCTCTCGCTCCCCGCTTAATTCCTGTGTGGTGTTTCGTAAGGAGGGCCAATGAACCTGTATTAATTACTAATCATAAAATGTAAAACATCTCCTCCTCGTGGTGTGTACTTGTAATTGTATAGTACTGGTCATTATGTGTTGTACCTGTGTGTACTACACCCGTATATATATAATATAGCTCTGCTGTGCAGTGATTAGAGTATACTCTGCTCTCCACTACACACCACCCTGTTACTTGACAATGTACTAATTTGTCTTCTACTGACCCAGACTCCGCCAGTAGCAGCAATGTGTGACCTATGAAGGGAGGCTCTGAGTATATATGTATACAGGGTGAGTTGAAAATAGTGTGTAGAATGTAAAAATCGATAATTTTTTTTATGAAGGAGCAAATTTTGAAAGGTGAATTGCTATCAGTTCATAAACGTTACAAATTTCATTCTTGCCTCTCATTTGATTCTAACTCATAATTTGGTTGATTTTTGGCAGTTTTCCAAAAATTCGTAAATTCGTCCTAATGGGGTTCTCAAATCGCGTGCCCTGAAAATCGAGTCTAAAAATCTATCTTCTTCTACATTTTTTGAGCAATCACCCTGAAACTTTCAGGATATGTTTGAGGGATCATTTAGAAGATATGAGCCGGACAGAATTTTAAGAGAGGCCTTTAAAAAATTTTTATTCGATTTTGAAAATCGTGGACCTTGAAAAACCATCAAAAAACGAGGTCCAAGATTTTAAAAATCGAATAAAAATGTTTAAAGGCCTATCTCAAAATGTTGTCGGGCTCATCTCTTCTAAATGATCCCTAGAACAAATCCTGAAAGTTTCAGGGTGATTTCTCAAAAAATGTAGGAGAAGATAGATTTTTAGACTCTATTTTCAGGGCACGCGATCAAAAATCGCTCGCGCAATACAATTACCAACACGTGCACGCGCTGACCTTTGACCGGCATTGATTTCGGCTAGGAACGATATTTTTCCACGGGATCAAAAGCATCTGATAGATATTACTCCCCTCTATCAGAAACAACTAAAAAGTCGATTTTGAGAACATTTCCACGAAGACCCCCCCGCCCCCTTAATACAGTCAAGTCGGCTATAGACAATTGTCTTACACGTTATCAACATGTCCTATCAACAATAAAGGACAATGGGTTGAGCAAATTAATACTTATTAAGTATTTTTATTGCATTATTATAATATTTAAATATTTTCATTACCTAAATATGCAAAAATTAAGTGGAAATTTCATTTGTCAAAAAAATTAGAGCCATTTACTTTCTACACACTATTTTCAACTCACCCTGTATATATTATGTGTATATTGTACCTCTGTGTTGTGACTTGTGATACACACGGCGGGGTGGTGTGACATTTCTCACTCACCAGTTGTTTTATTTGAGGTCGCTATAAATACACTGGGTGGTTGAAAGAAAACTTTAGAGTCACGCTGCCTCCTTTTTCTACTAAAATCTGAAAACTCAAACGCTGTCTAGTGTGATTGAACTGTTAAACTCTACTTCAAATTCTCCTAAATCAAGTTCACAATTCATTCTAATCTCACTTTAAATGATCTAATTATCTGATCTGCAAACTAATGAACACCAATTTCCCGGAATGCGACGTGATGAACATTTAGCCGACCAAATCCAAATTATTTATACCATTGGGTGATTTAAGTGAGTTAAAAGGTTTCTGTGGATTAAAGGCCAAAGGGTTTGTCTGGGTTTCATGAACACTTCCACGAGAAACCTGATCTTTAACAACAGCTGTTAGAAGCTACTACAATATTTTACACCCCCTCACGCTCTCCAGCCTACACACCCTCATAACAAAACATGGAGCCAGTTCATTGAGGACATGTCAAATTGCATCATGTCACTCTCAACCTCCTCTCCTCTGTGATACACACCACCTGCCCTCATAGTCGCTGCCCTCTCAATCATTGATATAGCAGATTATTGCTCGAGATCAGACCATATTTGGGGCGACGGCAAGAAACATTTTGCTTGACTTCTTTATTCCTGTCAGGCAGTATTTTAAATTGATTGAGTTAAGTTACTTTCAAGTAACTTTGAATTCTATGTGTGAAGGCATATCCTTGAAATTGGATTCAAAATCAAATTTACAATTGGTATTTAATTTGGGAAATGGACCCGTCAACCTTTGTACCGTCAAGGTTACGCACAGCACAGACGGATTGAAATAGTACATATTGTGGCTGGGTTTATGACCTGGAGTTAAGTTGCATTCTGCAATTTCTTTAAAGATGAAGGATATAACAACTGTTCACTGTTCGGCAGACACAACACGACACATGAGCTTCATAAACATTTAATGACGCATGTCTCATATGATGGGCTTTTAGCGATTTTCTTGCTGTTTATTTTAACCCTTTCCTAGTATGAGGAATCACTTAATTTCTGTTAAATATCTCTATATTCTTGGGCCAGTTCTTGACCTTGAAAACCACCCAACATTTGTTACATTACAAAACAAAACGTTGTACTGCCCACTTTAAAAAACAGCACAAAGTCTACTGATTTAATTTGTCTGGGAGGGAAATCTGTAGATAGTGTCTCTGTCATTATATATTGTAACGTGTAGTAAGTGATATTCTACTGAACCTGACTGGCGTCTCTACATAAAAAGAATGAATATATCACAGTCACATGTTTTTTGTGTAATGAGTAAGTGTGTGGTGATGTAATTAACTCTCTCACTCTTCCTGCAAATACCACACGGGGGCTGGGATGTGAGATGTTGTAGACTGTAGGAGGGTGTAACAAGTCTTTAGTAGCCGTTAATTACATACTGATCTATAATCCAATCAGTTTTATGGAAAACAAAGACAGTTTGTTGCTACCATCTGGTTTAGGCAGGTCTCTCTATTGTGTCTGTATCTGTTTAACTCATTATTTTTTCAGTCACCCAAGACAAACGAATCGGAACGTGAACACAAGCAAGCAGGCGGAGTCGAGACAACATCCAAATCTGCTGTCAGCACCACGTCCCAAGAAACGGTGCCTCAGAAAGAGACGCCCTCTCAAAAAGAGACGCCCTCTCAAAAAGAGACGCCCTCTCAAAAAGAGACACCCTCTCAAAAAGAGACGCCCTCTCAAAAAGAGACGCCCTCTCAAAAAGAGACACTGTCGTCTCAGAAAGACACGGGATCTTCTGGAAAACACAAGAACTGTGAAATGCAGAAGACATTCGCCCAGCTATCTGACAGGCAGAGCTCGTTGAAAGAGCGACTAAACGTACTGTCAAAGCGACTGTTTAGGTACAAGACTCGGGAGCTGGTACGGCATATTGTCAGTCAGTTGGACAAGTTCGACGAACATGCTATCAAAAATCAGGTAATTAATATTATTTAACAGTGTATTTATATTACTTGCAATATTACCAACTTAAAGATTAAGCCTATCGAACACTAAGTACAGGGTGTATTCTCCCTATTTACGCTTATAGAGTTTCAAAGTGTTTGTGTCTCGTACAATGCTCGCCTCAGATCAAATTCTTAGTTGTTCATATTTAACGTGATTTGTTTGGCTTTCTGGTCGCTCGTTCGTCGTAACTTATAATTCCAACGGAAGTTTTAATGCACCGTCGCGAACTTTTTATGCGTCAAGCATTACATTGTCACGTTACTCTTCCATCGAAGAAAGTTTCATCCTTAATTGTTGGGTCTTACATTAATATACATGCTCCTCTTGCACTTGGGCGTCAAATCACAAGGCATTGATTTCGATCAATTATTTTCAAATATAATGGTGACATAATATGTATGGACATGCTGTATAATAATAGCCTTAGCTCTAGCTCTGTGTGTCGAGGCTCACTAGCTATCTTGAGCTATATATCCCGGGGCCCTGTGTATTATATAATATAATGACATCTTATGACGAATTGCTATAAACATTTATATATAAAACGATAAAAGCTTATTCACAAAGCTTGTAGGTGTATCGTATAATATCATTATATATACTGGAGCGGGAGCTTACGAGCACAATATCCCATTGTTTGTGGGAGATACCAGTGACTCTCAGCTCCGAATAAACTAATCAATAAATAAACCGCATAAACGTGGCTGGTGGGAACCGCCCCTCATTCTCCCTTGTGGTGTTATCGTATTGTTTAGAAGCTGAAAGGGTAAGTAGTAATAGAGTGGCGGAGGTTAGCTGGTCTGCCTCACATTTTGTGTAACTTAATAATCTGCATGTTAAGTTCATTACACGTCCAGCCTACATAGTTATTAGGTGTGTGTGTGTGTGTGTGTGTGTGTGTGTGTGTGTGTGTGTGTGTGTGTGTGTGTGTGTGTGTGTGTGTGTGTGTGTGTGTGTGTGTGTGTGTGTGTGTGTGTGTGTGTGTGTGTGTGTGTGTGTGTGTGTGTGTGTGTGTGTGTGTGTGTGTGTGTGTGTGTGTGTGTGTGTGTGTGTGTGTGTGTGTGTGTGTGTGTGTGTGTGTGTGTGTGTGTGTGTGTGTGTGTGTGTGTGTGTGTGTGTGTGTGTGTGTGTGTGTGTGTGTGTGTGTGTGTGTGTGTGTGTGTGTGTGTGTGTGTGTGTGTGTGTGTGTGTGTGTGTGTGTGTGTGTGTGTGTGTGTGTGTGTGTGTGTGTGTGTGTGTGTGTGTGTGTGTGTGTGTGTGTGTGTGTGTGTGTGTGTGTGTGTGTGTGTGTGTGTGTGTGTGTGTGTGTGTGTGTCAGCAAAGGAAATAGAATTCGTCAGAGTGTGTATTAAAGGTTTAGAGTGTGTCGTATGTTCGTCAGATAGTGTCGACTAGCGCAGTATTATACGTCTTCCTATATTGATAATTTTGTGTGTACATATTAACGAAAGGTGATCTTTGGCACGTCCAGAGGATATTTTTCTCGGAGTATCACATTTCAACTTTTAAAGGATTGGCATTCTCTTTCTCTGAAATTCAGACCTGTAACCTCATAATATGTACACAATCATTTGTACGGTATTTTCAAAATAACAGCTGGATGTTAAATACCTCATTAGATGTCGTTATGTCAAAATTGTAACTTAGGCGAGGTCTTTTAATTAGCTAATTAGATAATGACCCTCCTGCTTACTATATAATAGAATATTGAAATTCGATGCAAAATTGACACGTCACCTACTCATTAGGTTTATCTACTTACGAACAATTTAGCTGCATTATACTGATAATATATGGGCGTGTATGTATTTAGGTAACGATGACTCATTCAAAGTGAATACTTGATCCTAATTTCATGCTAGGTGTATATTTCTAACCTTACCAAGAAATGATCTATAGAAAGTCTAATCTTAGCTTTAGTACAGTGATTGTATTCCTCAAAAACTTGACCTCGAATTTTATCTAGAAATGATCTAGAATATTCCACTCCTAAATACATAATAAATTCCTCGAGTCTCTCATAATTTATTCTAAACATGTTGCACACACACACACAACACTACACTCACTTAGCAGCTAACAACTAATCGCAGTGAGGAGCGAGGGCTACTACTTAGTGTTAGTTTGTACACGGTACTAATTACCCGAGTGTAGCACTCACTCCGGATGTAAGAGTGTTTTGTAATTACACGCTAATTAGCCACTCTCTCCACCACTGTTCAACATGTGTTTGTGTGTGTGTGTGTGTGTGTACTTTATGGAAAACAAACCCGGAAAACTACACTTTTTTATGAGGATTGAGGGGGTCCTGGCTCCGAGCCTAATAGAGAGAGAGAGAGAGAGAGAGAGAGAAAGAGAGAGAGAGAGAGAGAGAGAGAGAGAGAGAGAGAGAGAGAGAGAGAGAGAGAGAGAGAGAGAGAGAGAGAGAGAGAGAGAGAGAGAGAGAGAGAGAGAGAGAGAGAGAGAGAGAGAGAGAGAGAGAGAGAGAGAGAGAGAGAGAGAGAGAGAGAGAGAGAGAGAGAGAGAGAGAGAGAGAGAGAGAGAGAGAGAGAGAGAGAGAGAGAGAGAGAGAGAGAGAGAGAGAGAGAGAGAGAGAGAGAGAGAGAGAGAGAGAGAGAGAGAGAGAGAGAGAGAGAGAGAGAGAGAGAGAGAGAGAGAGAGAGAGAGAGAGAGAGAGAGAGAGAGAAGGAAATAGGAGATTCTTTACACCTATAAATATAGGGGAGCTTCTATATTTGCAGGTGTAAATATATCTGATGTTCTGTTTGGGCAACTAAACGGGTTAGTGTTTATAACGGAAGTTAAACTCAGAAATACCGGAGAGGTAGTAGTAGTAGTATGACAGAGCTGAATTTATGATATGTCATGCGTAGTGAACTGCTTACACAGGAGTTGTTACCGCTAGTTAAACTATTCGCTAGTTACAAACTATGTAGCGGCTGCCTGCTGCTATATGTTAGTGTATATACTACTCATCAAATATGTGTCATTGCCGTTACGTTTGCAGTGCGATCACATCGAAAGACAGCTTAGGTACTCAGTACTCGGACGTTTTTGGTCATTACTCTTTTAGAGATCATTCTAAAAGAAATTTTGCACGAGGAAATTGGCGGGAAGGAATAGGCGCGAGATGGTGTGCACAAGCGCTAATCCAATATGTCTGAGTACAATTAGTTGTACTTGATTTTTTCCTGAAAAGCACAGCGTTTCGACAAAAGGTTGCTGACAGAAATATATGGCAGTATGCCAGCAGACAGTACCCCTGAGAAATATGTAAAATCTTACAACAATTACCCTGGCAGTACTTACAAAAACCCGGCTGTAGAATAACTTGAACATTCCTGGAATTGCTAACATGGTGATATGTAGTGTGTACAAACACATCATAAACGCAATTCAAGGAATGTTCCCCCTTGTTGGGAAGGTTCAGTTATCTGTAGGGAAGGTGGAGGTATCTGCAATAAAATGTGTGTAATGTTAATGTGTGGAAGGTAAAGCAGCAGGTGTCCGCGTATAACCTCCAACAATTTCTCTGGGCCTCTTAAGCTCTTTACCCGGACCGGCTGTAGTATTGGATGTCCAAGAGTGTGCTCGCGTTTAAGATTTATAACAGGTATTTACTGAACTAATCTCATTTGCAGTGGTCCCCTCGCATTGTCACCCGAAATCCGATAGGGGCATTATTGTTCACTCGTCTGATCCCAGGTCCACAGCAAATTGATATAATTCCATATAATTCCTTAGGATTACTACACATAATGTGATTCATGACCATAATAATCACTCATTAGAGTCCAATTAATGAACCCCATTATTGTCTAAGACCTAAGTAAACATGTTGTCCTAATATGAGTATTTCTCCTGCAATTACCGAGAATGTTTGTGTGATTCTAGCGACCAATGGCTCCCCATTTCTAGCGAGCACTGACTCCCCATAATTTCTAGCGAGCACTGGCTCCCCATTTCTAGCGAGCACTGACTCCCCATTTCTAGCGAACACTGGCTCCCCATTTCTAGCGAGCACTGACTCCCCATTTCTAGCGAGCACTGACTCCCCATTTCTAGCGAGCAATGACTCCCCATTTCTAGCGAGCACTGACTCCCCCACCCTCTCTAAGTCACTCTTATAAGCTCTCTCGCATTGAGAGCCATGTTATTACATTACTGCAGTATTAGTGTACATATCCATTTTAAAATACACGCCACATTCATCTTATTGCTTGTCTAAATTCCTGAATGTTCAGCTCCGCCTGCCGAATGATATCTCCGCACATCACGACGCTCTCCACTACACTTTTATATCTCTCTCCGATAACATGTAATATTTGTCACAATAATCTCCGCTCACGACATAGTGCCTATATTAAAATGTACGTAGAAATATATTGTTTATTTATTAGATGAGGGTAGTCTCACAATAGTACACAGAAATGTTTCTGGTAATTTGCCCACCTCATTATTCCTCAATATTCAGCTTTCTTTCACACTGAATCCTACATCTGCGTACGCGTTTATGGTGTACATTTATAATGTACAGAACTAATGAGGTCTTTCTTACCGAGTTAAGAGTATGACCAGAAGAAATTATGTGTTCACAAAACTTATAATTAAAAATTTCCAAGAAATACTCCGCTAAAATTACAAGAAATTCTCCGCTACAAAAGTTATTACAACTCCATTATATTATGTTATGTTATGTTAAACCCCCGACAACCATAACACCTTATATATACAAGAAATGCACACCCATAAAATTATGACACCATCACCCCCGCTCTCCAATCACACATGACGCCATGTTCCTATTATACCTAACGTATCCACGCTCTGGTAAGCATGTAAATTCAAGTGAGTGTAACTTCCTAAACTCAGCGGCTGAACTTATCTTTATATCATGAGATCATACGATATTTGAGACTCCGAAAATATTTGCGTGTGTGATTAGTGGAGGCTGAAATATATTAGTGATA